AGAAAGCTCCTTGGAGTCAAGGATTCTGAAGCTTCGTGTGACATACTTTGGGCATGTTGCAAGGAGGGACTGGTCCTTGGAGAAGGACATCACGTTTGGCAGAGTAGAGGGGCAGTGCAGGAGAGGAAGACCTTCAATGAGCTGGATAAATTCTGTGACTGGAGTGGTGGGAATGAGTACATTTGAGATTGCTAGTTTGGCACGGGATAGAACGGCGTTTAGAGCTCTTGTACATAGGGTTGCTATGAGTCACAGCGACTCAATGGCACCTAACAACAACAACAATGGACCTTTCCCATTTCCTTTACCCCCTCCATCTGGCCACTGAATTGTACCACTCTGTGATTCACCTTTATCCATCTTCACCCCTCTGCTCTCCCCCCCCTCCCCCTTGGGTTCCCCATACATGTTATCCTTCCTTTTACTAGTTATCCTTCTGTTTTACAATAATGGTCTTATGCAGTATTTGTCCTTATTAGACCGAGTTAGTTCACGCAATATAATGCTCTCCAGTCTCTCCTACGTTATGTAATATTTTTCAAAATTGCTGCTCCTGAGTGCTGCATAGTGTGTGAATGTATCACATCTTCTCAATCCATTCAGTTGTGGATGGACATATGGGTTGTTTCCATGTTCTTGTGATGGTGAATAATGTTGCCAAACCACTTCTTGATTGGGACACTCAGAAAAACTGAAATAAAAGGGAATTTCTTCAACATAGTGAAAAATGTGTATGTAAAACCAAGAGTCTTTCTCAATGGAGAAAGACTAAAAGCATTTTCCTTGGGAACAGAAACCAAACAAGGATGCCTACTGTCACCACTTCTATTCAATATTGTATTGGAAGTACTTGCTAAGACAATACAAGTAAATAAAAGGCATCCAGATTGGCAAGGAGATGGTGAAACTGTTGCTATATGCAGATGATATGATAGTGTACACCAAAAAGCCCCAGGCAATAAAAAACTGTCAGAGTTAGTGGACCAATTAAGGTGGCAGGATACAAGATCAATATACAAATGTCAGTTGGTGGGATTCCTCTATACAAAGCAAATTCAGAAGGAAACCAAGAAAACAATACCATTTATAATAGCCAACTACAAACTGAGATACTTGGTAATAAATCTAACTAAAGGCACAAAAGACCTGTACAAACAAAACTACAGAACACTTCTGTGAGAAACAATAAAAGACTTAAATAAATAGAAAAACTTCCCTGTTCATGGATGTTGCTGTTACGTGCCAGCGAGTTGCTCATGTGTAGGAAGATTCAATACAGTAAAAATGACAATCCTAGCAAAAGCAATCTATATATTCAACAAAATCCCAATACAGATACAAAAATAATTTTTCAAGGAGATCAAAACAGAAATTGTTAAGTTTATTTGGAGAAGAAAGAGACCCCTAACAAGCAAAGTACTTCTGAAAAACAAAAATGAAGTAGGAGGCATAGCACTCTCTGACCTCAAAACCTAATACACAGCGGTAAAAACCAAAAAAGCATGGTACTGGTACAATGACAGGCAAACAGACCAATGGAACAGAATTGAGAATCCAAAAATAAACCTATATATGGTCAACTGATATTCGACAAGGAAATAAAATCTATCAATGGGGAAAACACAATCTCTTCAACAAATGGTTCTGGCAAAAATGGACTTCTAACTGCAGAAAGCTGAAAGAGGATCCACATGTCCCAGTATTTTAAATCATTATTCATGCCTTAAAATGTTTACTTAGAAATCTACTGTACATAAAGTCAACAAAACACTGCTGGAACATAGATTTTGAAAAGACTATCACTATAGTAGGACATTTACCAGAACAATCTCAAATCAATCTCGGTAGTCAGGTTCCACATATATATTTTTTAAATTGGTAAAATATTCTACAATAATTCTGCCACATACACTTTGGAAGATGCTAACAAGGAAGATGTAATAACACATTAAAAAAAAAGATCAGAGCATTTTCTCAGAGGAGATATTTATCTGGTGAGTGGTACAGATGCCATATCTGCTTAGCTTTACAGTTCATGCCCATATTACTTCCATGATGGTACTATTATAAATATGGGCACATCTGGCAAATTGCACCCAAAAGACATACCAAATAGCAATGTTAATATGGTAGTTTCTGACACTTTCTCATGTCTAGGTGCTAAAGATTTAATATCCAATTTTCTTTCACTGCTGAATTCAAATTAAAATATATTAGTAAAATATTTAAATAGATGTTCAATATAACTGAAATTATGTATTTCTGGGGGGTCATCTTGGCAAAGAGGGTTTAATATACTGTTTCAATATAAGATAAATAGAAAATGTAATTCTGATGTCAACCCATATTGCTTTGAAAAAATATTAATATGAAATAAACTTTATGGTAAGAAATAGCCCAGATTGCATTCAGACTGTTTGTTTTCAATCACTTATTAATATTAATTGAGACTGCTATTTAATTAGTCAATCTACTATTTGCACTGGAAAAAGAAAACCACTCAAAGGTTTCTTGCCAAGCAAAGAAAGCATGTTAGTATTTAATAATACTCTCTGTTCAAAGCGATCTTGGTATTTACTGAGGAAAAAGTTACACTCACTCATCTGACCTTCCTAGTTACTTATTCTCTGATTGTTCCACTAAAACTTTCTGCAGATGTATGAAAGAAACTCTTTAATATTTTATGCCAATATGTCCAAAATAGTTGATATTCTGTGACACTATGTCTGTATTATATGACTACATGCTAACTACCGATTAATACTACAATTCAAATGTTAAATATGCAAAAAGACAGTATACAACTTAAGTAACTAACACAATTGTTTGTTACTTTGGGTGTAGCAGTCCAACAAAGTGTAAAGAATAATTATAGAGAAAAGGAAAAGTGAATTAAAGCATCTCAGGAAGTAGGTCAAATAAGATGACCTATGAGGCTCACTCCCACTCCAAAAGCTTTATGACAGCAATCAAGAAGGAGAAAATAATGGAGGAGCGCATATGAAGGAAGGAGAATTGCTAGTGTAGTTTGTAGTGTGTTGTGCTGCTAACCAAAGTCTCTTGCTTCTGGCACTATAAATATGCTCGTAATTTTCCTGAAGACATAGAGCCTCAGAAACTTGAGGGAAGGTGACAGCAGTGCGTTTTTTTTTAATATTAAGGACCTCTGATGGCATTGTGCCTTTTGTGTTGGGCTTCTCATTAAAAATTTGGTGGTTCAAATCCCTCAGCAACTCTATGGGAGAAAGGTGAGGTGGTCTCCTCCCATAAAGATTTACCATCCAGGAAACTACAGAGAAGGTCTTCAAGAACTTCCATCATATTTCTGCTTCAAGGCTAATGTAAAAATAACTAAGTTTTGAAAAACCACTGCATACAATTAGGATGAGTAAAAAATTGATTTCATCAAAGTAGTTAAACCCCTAATCTTGCTGTCTATAGTTTAAAGTAAAAAAAAAAAAAAAAAAATTTAAACAAGTTGAGAAAGATGGTCTAAAGAGAGAAGCTGTCTTTAGCTTTTTTGATGTGCAGCAAAGTACTTTAACGTTATATTAAATAACTCTAATACAAATTTTCTTGAAAATAATTTTGTAGAAATTACTTAGATAAGATCTAGCACACAATAGAAATCAAATGAGAGAAATTATAAAAACAAAACAAACGATAGTAACCTATAGAAAAATGTTGGTAAACTACAGGGAAATGATGGTCAATTTCTCCTGTGCTACTCCTGCAAACACAGGTCAGATTACACGCTTCCATTTATTGTGCTTTTCTGTCAAAGTATTCTTTATATCTGTAACTAGGTAATTTTTTGTGACTCTCTGACTAATGATTATCTCTATTGCAGGAAGATGTTTCACTAAGCATTATATCCCCAATATAATGTATGACTAAATAATTGTTGAATAAAGAAATAAAAATATAAATGAACTATAACAAATGACTGATTTTCACTGAGTCAATCTCAACTCATTGCCACTAAGCAGACCCTCCAGTGGGTTTTCAGAGGTGGTTAATAGTACAGGAGGAGTCTACCTATCTTTCTCTCATGGAGAAGTTGATGGGTATGAACAACTGCCTTTGGGTTAGTAGTGCAACTCTTTATTCTTTAGGCCAAAATAGCTCCTTAAATGAACTCTACCCACATCTAATGTTGAGGGCTAGAATTAAAATTTAGGAATTTACTGCAAAATGGTCAGAGTAGTATATCTTGTTTCTGAAAAAAAACAATGTATCCCAAACACTCAGGCAGTTTTAATTTATAGTATTAGTATATATTCTGTATTTCCCCATGTTGATTTAACAAAACTACAAATGGAAACTCTAGTTTTCCAGTCTCTGATCACAGAAAATTTTGGAAAGTATTAGTATTTAATATTAATTGGCAGGAAGCATTATGATAATTCAGAAAACCATAATAACATAAATACCATAGGAGGCAAGAAGGGGTAAGGTAACAGGGTCACTGGAAGTGAGAACCACAGGGAGAAATGGGTAGTGCGCAGTTATGTTGTACATACTGTAATTAATGAAATAAATAAAAATGAGTATGAATATTTAAATGGAAAGCCAATTTGCTATTAAACATTCACTCAAATCACAATGAAAAACAGTAAACTGTAAATGTTACAGTGATTTGAGGATACTACTATTATTGGCCAATATTTACTGACCTCTACAGATAAGGATTTGCTAGCTTTGAAAGTCACAAAAAAGTGCAGAAGTGAGTATATATTTGTCAAGAGAAAATTTGGGGCAATGGATGCATGTAAGAAATGACAGTCCTAATGGTAAAGACCACTAATGCTGAATAATTTAGGAAGGAGAGAGATTACTGACAACAAACATTTAAGCATTCTTCTTTATTTGAGGATATTAAACAACCCCCCCCAATATTATTCAAGGCTTGCACATTAGAATTATATCCAGTGTAGATAAGTAACAATCTTCTTTTCATGCCATTTTAAAAAATTCTGAAACCCAACATGGAAGCTTACCTGCTGTTTGGCTGGCGCCATCAAACAGATCAACAAGGTCACCAGATGACTTGCTGCTAGGCACTAAAGTCTGAAAACAAATACACAGATAATAAGCTTAGAAAACAATGGATTTTCTCTAAAAGCTTTCAAAGAATGTAAAAGAAGCTTTTACATTCTAATCAGCCCACCACATCTATAATTCTGAACTCAGTTACAAATACTTGTAATTATTTTAGTAAGGCCACATCCAGATTTTTGTAAATAGTATGCACACTAACTTCTTATGGAAAGGCAGTAAGTACCATTTAAATAAATCTATCCCCAGTCCTGTAAACATCCCAATTGCCCACATTCCACTTCTTCCTAACTCATTAATTTCTTACTGCATTGCACTCTCGGTAACATACATTTCAGAGCCCACTCAACTCTTATTGCTAGGTATTAATCATTAGTGAGAAAAGTTAAAAATACACAGGCTTCAAAATTATTATAACAAATTGAATTAGAATTATCAAAGATAAGAATTTGCACTATAAAGTTTTTACATAGCTCTGTGATTTCCAATGCACTATTTTTTGCTGTTTGGCGTCAAGTAAGCTCCAACTCATAGCTACCCTGTGTATAACAGAAAGAAACCCTGCCTGACTGTATACCATCCTCATAATCCCTGCTGTGTATAAGCCTTGGTGGCACAATTGGTTATGTGTCGCACTAGCTGAAAGGGTGGTAGTTCAAATTCACTAGATGATCTGCTGCAAAAAGATGGACATTCTCTCATAAAGATTTCCAGTGTCAGAAACCTGACAGAGAGGTCCTGAGTCAGGGTAAACTGGGTGACAGTAACTTCTGATGTATTTGTGTCGCTGTTATGTGTTGTTAAGTCAAATACAACTCCCGGTGATGCTATGAACAAAAGATCTAAACCTTGTGCCATCCTCACAATCTCTGAAAACACTTCAGGCCATTGCTGCAGTCACTGTGCCAATCCATCTGGTTGAGGGTCTTCCTCTCCTTTGTTATTCCTTTTCCAAGAATGATGTACTTCTCCAAGGAACGGCCCTTCCCAGCAATGTGCCTTAAGTATATGAGACAAAGCTTTGGTATCCTTGCATCCAAGGGGTACTCTGGCTGCACCTTCTCCAAGACCTATCTGTCTGTACGTCTGTCCATGGGATATTCTGTACTCTTCTCAAACTCCACAATTCAAAAACAACAATTCTTTGGCCATCTTTATTCACTGTCCAGCTCTCAACAGCATAGCAAGTGAATGAAAACACCACGGTCTGCATCAGGTCTTAATCCTCAAACTAACATCACCGCTTCTCAATAATCTGGAGAGGTCCCTGACTACAGGCTTTCCCAGTGTAACACATCTCCAGATCTCCTGACTGTTGGTTGTTGTTGTTATGTGCCGTTGAGTCGTTTGCGACTCATAGCAACCCTATGTACAACAGCCCTAAACCCTGCTCTATCCTGTGCCAATCTCATTGCCTCTGACACACCCATCCCGATTACCCCAGTCACTGAATCAATCCACCTAATAGAGGGTCTTCATCTCCTGCGCTGTCCCTCTACTCTGACCAGCATGATGTCCCTCTCTAAAGACCTGTCCCTCCTGGCAACATGTCCAAAGTATGTCAGACGAAGCCCCAGAATCCTTGCCTCCAAGGAGCAGCCTGGTTTAACCCTCTCTAGGATGAATCTATTTGTTTTCTTGGCAGGCCATGGTACATTCAATACTCTTCTCCAGCACCACAGCTCAAAGGCGTCAATTCTCCTTCTATCCTCCCTAGTCATTGTCCAACTCTCTGATGCATAAGTGATTGCAAAAACCATGGCCTGTATCAGGCGCACCTTAGTCTCCAGAGAGACACTGTTGCTCTTGAGTACTTTAGAGAGGTCCCTAACTGCAGACTTTCCCATCGCAATAAGTTTTTTGATTTCCTGGCTACTGGTGCCAAGAGTGTTATTAATTATGGTTCCAAATAAGTTAAAGTTGTTGACAGTTTCAATCTTTTCTCCATTTATCATGATGTTAAATATTGGTCCAGTGGCAAGAATTTTTTGGTGTTTTGTTTTTTTTTTATGTTGAGATGCAACTGATATTGAAAGCTGCAGTATCTGATCTTCTGTAGCAGATGTTTCATTTCAAGTCCTCCTCATTTTTAGCAAGTAGTGTGTCAACTCTATACAGATAGTTATTGAGTCTTTCTCCTTCATAGAGTCCAGGTTCTCAAATAATCTGTTCAATTAAGTGTCTAGAGGGCAGAAAATGGTACATGTGGGCACAGGGCCGGGAAAGTCTCTTTGAAAGGGCCAGAGGGAGTCAACACCCCAGAACAGAAAGTAGAGAAACGCCTCAGGCCCATGGTTCCTCTAGAGCCACAGCAGCAGCAAGAGGTTCATTTATGTTTTGTTGACTCACAGTTCTGGTACTGAGAATGGGTTCATGAGAGAATTAAGTTGGAGAGTAGAGGAGGCAAAAATCACCCAGTGTTATTCCAGAAGTGCCAAGGCGCATTTCTTCATTAGTCTAGGGTCCAGTTACAGCTCAACAGTCAGCTTCTCCTTCCATCAACAGCAAGAACAGCAAAACCTTTAACTGTGGCCTTTTTATCTCTGAGTTCCTCTCTTTATACCTTACCACAGCTTCTCCACAGTAATGACATAGTCTCTCTACCACAATCAATAGGCTCTTGCCAACTGGGTCTCATTCTCAATAGGGTCTTGCTCTAAGTCTCCCTCTTCTCAAATCTTGCTGTCACACGTCTTACTATTCAGTGTGGGAAGCATTTTCTCACTTATCCTAGTCCCACAGCTGTTGATAATTTGCAAGACTGTATGTCTGCAGTTAAGGTAGCTGGAGACCAGGGGGGCTTAACGAAATGGTTAATAAAAACCAATTAGACTGATCAAATTTTGTACATTCAATGATTTACTCATCTATGCTTTACAAGAGTTAAAATCCACTTAATTAGAGGTCATTCTTTTCATTTTCAAACTCTATGACTTTACATACCACACAATATCTAACTCTTTCATATATACTTTCTACACTAAATTGTGAGGCTTGCTTAAGAGTCCTATGCAATACTATTTTTGTCTTCTCCATAGTTCTAAGCACCCAGATGATGCCTTTTCCTTACATATTTAATGCAAATACGCTGAACTGAAACTTAACTGTTAGACAATAAGGAGCTACTCTAGATTTCTAGGCGAAAGAGAAAATACAATATTGTGGCTGAAAACTCTGAGACGAAAAGGGATCAGAAGTAGCTGGGTGAATTTTTAGAACTGCAATTTTATTTACTTTTGAAAAATAAGAAAGCAAATAAGACAAAAGGGTGAAAAAACCAAATGAAAGAATGCCATGCTCAGTCAGAAAAATATATATATTTACAAAATTCCTTAAGATACTAAATGAAAATGTTGATTTACTGCAAAAATGAAAACAATTACACAGTTTTAAGAAATTCTTTCTTATAATCTCAAGTAACTTCTTCATGTCACAGTCGTTATGTAATGGTTCTACAGGCAGACTTGGTTTCACTGTTATTTTGAAGATATTTTTATTTCATAAATTGAAGACTTGTGACATCCTGCATTAAGTCCATTGGTGCTATGTCTCTATCATATTCCAGCAATTCTCAAATTATTTAACTTTTTCATAATACTGTCACACATTCAATAGACTACATATATAATTTTTATAAAGAATAAAAATTTTAGAAAATCGTGTGGCTCCATTGTACTATTTGCTTTACTGTAGTGGTCTGGAACCAAATTCAGTTTGTAATTAATACACCTAACTACTAGATTTTAATGGCCATGACAAAGCTAACACAGTAAATCAATTATATTTAAGACAGCAAAGAGCTAACAAAGCCATTTTTCTTCTTTAACTACAATTAGAGTCAAGGTTTTCCTCAAAATGGGAGGTGAGAGGAAGGGGAGAGAGAAACTTATATACCAGTTCACAAGCTTTCTAGTAAAAATTGGTTCAGTACTTGTACTTATAAGTAAGTAACCCACTGCCATGGAATCAGTTCCAACTAACAGTGACCTTTCGTTTGTCATCTTTATAGGTGTAAATCTTTATGAGAGGAGGCAGTGCATTTTTCTTCCACGGAGCAGCTAGTGAATCAGACCTGCTTTTAGTTAAAAGCCTGATGCATTACACCACCAGGGCTCTCTAAGCTGTTGTTATGGGTCAGCTGAGTTGTCTGTGACTGTATGTACAATAACTCTGAAACCTGTCCTATTCTGAGCCAATCTTAATTGTCTCTGACACTCCTACCCTCATCACCCCAGTTACTGTGTCAGTCCATCTTATCCAAGTTGCCTTCTCGTGTGCTGTTCCTCCATTCTTCCAAGCATGATGTTCTTCTCCAAGGACTGGGACTTTCTGACAACATGCCCTATGTGAGGCATGGAGTCTTGTCCTCCTTGCCTTCAAGAGCATGCTTACTGTACTTTCTCCAAGTCAGTTCTCACTTTATGGCCCATAACAATAACAAATGGAGAATTAAAACTTGGATGACTCTTAGTAGATGGTGATCAACACCTCTCTACTGGCAGTATAAAGGTTCATCTTTAGAGTCAATTACAGCTTGGAAAAAAATGGAAAAATATTTCTAGTTTTTTGACTACTCTGCTGCAAAGATAAAGTTGGGGGGGGAAGTGACTAAAACAATTTAGTATTCTGGGGTAAATCAATCTCTTCGACAGATTTCTCTTCCAAAGATTAGCTTAACACCAAGTACCCATCAGATAGATTTCATTTACATGGTACCTAATAAACAACTACCAGAGATACAAGAGGCAGTGTTCCTGATACTGATCTGTAGTGACCATCAGGCAAGTCAAGTCTCCCTTTCTGTGCATCACTGTCATGCAAAAGGAGAACACTTCTCCCATGTATCAACTAGATGCCTCTTCTGTCATTTTTAAAAACTCCTAACACTCCAGTGATTTCCTCGTGAAACAAGCTTTCCTTGGTAACCAGTAGTAATACACAAAATGAGTAAGAACCACTAAAATCTGATTCACAACCTTTCCCAAATGAACTAAGAGTGTCATTTCTACTTTCAAAGAAAGTGCATAGGAAATCATCCTGCAATTGGACAGGTTTCTTCCCCCAAAGAGGTTTCTTATTATTAATGACTCTGTGTAATACATGCCAGATAATTTATAATTAATATACTTGCCCAGAACCACAAAAGTCTGCTTCTGCAGGAACTGTAAAAGTAGTTACATATATATGAAGTAGTTATAAGAATTAAACCATGTAGAAAGTAAAACTCTTATGTCATTTCCCACCTTAACTGAAGACTGAGGTGTATGGGTTGAAGCATTCTGATCTGGACTTGCTTTGTCCCCTGTGTAATGTGCTGCTGCTCCTAGATCAATGGTTTTGGAAGGATTTGCTGTGCGCTTGTGTCTGGTTGTAGTGGTCTCTGTGGACTGTGTGATATGGATATGCTTTGTCGTCACAGTCTCCTCTTCATCTTTGAATTCACCTTTGGGAGATCTGCCTCTTCTCGCTTTCTTTTCTTCATCACTGTCGCTAAAAGATATTAAAAATGAAGCAAAATAATAAGACTTGGGATTATTTTAAAATGGAGCCCTCAGTGATTTGAGCTTAAGAATTTCAAATGCAGTAACTCCAAAATTCTACACTCTATTTGACAGGGATCAACAGAATGTTATCTATCTGAATAATGATGAGTATATATGAGTAGAGGAAGTGTGAACTGACCGAATCCCCTAAATATGTCCAAAATAGTACTATAAAAAGTATTTACATAAATATAGACAAATAAAAGAAGTCTGAAATACCAAGTGCTTATTTATTATAGATTTAAAGCGTAATTAAAAATAAAGTAGGATTACTGTTAACGCGAGAACCAGTAAGACCCATGGTAATGCACATATCTGTATATAACAACTATGTTTAAAAAAACTGCTATTTCTAAAATGTAAATTTCTAAAACAGCTCTATTTCTAAAATGTAAATCCTTATGTACTAATAATACACATACATAATGAAATACTACAATTTCAGTAGGTATCATGCAAAAACATGTAAAATAATGTGGTTCATGACTATATTCTACTTTACTACAGTGTAAGAGGCCAAATTTATCCTAAATAATATGCTGCTGGAAACTCTATGAACTTTGATAAATGTCAATAGTTGTAAAGGGGCTTTAGGCCTTTTGTTTATAGGGTCGCTATTAGTCGTGCTCGAATTGAAGGCAATCAACAACAACATGGGGAGTTAAAAAAAACAAACAACACCCCCCCAAAAAAATCCAAACAATAAACCACCCTGTATTTAAAGTGTTTTTAAAATTAATTTTCAGGCCCATTTATAATTTTCATTACAAAATAGTTTTCTGATAGAATAAAAGGAAAAATACCAAGTAAGTAAAAATGGCTTTTCATATACTGTGACTGAAAAATGTTGGTACTACTCTGTCCTCCAGTGAAAAGGCATTGGCTTTTTTTTCTGGTGGAAAGGAGGGACAGAGGAAAACAGGGGAGGAAAGGAGGAAAGAAAAATATTACCTGGAATACATGTCACTGCCTATATTATTTAATTTTAGAGTAGGTGGTTTAATTTATAAATATCTTACAACAAAAAGCTTAAAATTCCATTAAACTATGACTATTATTACTGATGTAATTTAACTCAGGACTAATCTAAAGCAATTTGCTACTAATATAAGCCTATTTGGAACTCACAGAAATCATAGATCAAGAGGGATGGCCTCCTACAAAGAGTAAAACAGTCAAATGTGTTTTAGAGAGAAATTAAAAGTTCTAGCAAATATTCAAAACGCCTTAATGTCACTTAATTAATTTCTCAATAATACAAGACCTAAAGAGTTCATATACTTGTAAGTAAAAGTTAATTTTTTACATGTAATTTTATTTCAGTGTAAGATAAATTTCTTCACAACTTGAGCATATAAACATACCTACCACTAAAGAGAAGCTTCCTATCTTTAAGAATTTCTCAATCTAATAAGAATTACTAAGTTCAAAATTGACATTGTGACAGTAAAGTCACAAACATTTTTGTCTAAACATCTCTTCTTTCACAAATTCCCCAGGATGAAAACTTCTAGGTACATTCTTCAGTTACTAGAATTCACACTTGGAATATCTTCATTCTTTCAAACTTTAATATAAAAATTGAGAAACAAAACCTAAAAACTACAATTTCTAGCATATCTATCTTAAAGGAACACAAAAAAGAAAATTAAGAAATAGAAATGTAAAAAAAAAAAAGAACAGAAACAAAGTAAAGAATAAAAGAATGAATGGCAAAGAACGAAGTTACAATACAAGAATGTACAGACATTTCTAATCAAGTTTCATACATGAGACACAAATTTTTTTTTAGGAAGTTATCGGTAGCCTAATTTAGTCACATGCTTTCCAAATTAAACCAATAGTTATCCGTAAGTCGTAAGAACACTTGAGAGAAATAGTCCTGAAGAGGCATTACTTCTTCCCAAGTTTAATATCTACAATGGTCAAAAACATAGTCTTTCAGTATAAAGGACTTAGAGGGTAACTGTAAAATATGTAAGTACTAAAAATGAATTCTTGCTCTTCAAAGATAATACTCCAGGAAAAAAGTCTTGAAAAAGACAAGTAATCCCAAGACTTAACAAGTATGGAGCCCTACTGAAAAGATACTAAGCAGGTATTTCAGAAACTGTATAGTTTCAAAACTGCAGGTTCATTCCTTTTAAATAATCTCCATCAATAATTTTATTACTTTGGGCAAGCTTGTTTTGAACAAGTCTGGAGACTCATTCAAATGGGCCTTTTCTTTCTTAGGGGCAGGTGTTAAGTTTTAATCTTATCTAATAGGAACATGTGAAACAAATGATAAGCTTATAAAATTTACTTTGCAGATTAAGTTCTACAAATTCCTTTTTAAACTGACAGAAAAAAATTATACATGCCTTATGAATAAGAACAAAAAGTAAAATTTCAAGAAGTTAAAAAATTAAATACAAATGCCTTGTCAACAGAAAATATATTTTATAAAAATAACTCAACACTTGAGAACTTTCTGGTCCTAAAGTATTTTTGAGATTTCTGCCCCATGATACTCACTGGCACAAAATAATAATGAGATATCAGGGGAGGATTTTAATTTCAAGTCCTTTACAATTCATTATCTTCTTTAACAATACTTCAGATTCTTGAATCACCTGATGCCCAAATGCAAATTGAGTTGTAAATTTATATTTTCCAATAGAAGAAGTATGCTAAATAAAAACAGGAAGCATAATCAACTTTAGGAAGAAAAATTGTTGTCTGTTGGAAAAGTGTGTCAATATTAACAGAAAATAACCATTGACACACCACTTTAAAATCAGCTGCAAAAATCTGCATTCTTTTTAAGAGACCTTAGAGACAAAACATTAATACCTGCATCTTTCTGGAGAGTCTTCTCTATCTTTCCTCCGGAACTTGCTGATGGTGTCATCAATCGTGCTTCCAATTTTATCACTCAATTCACCTAATTTATCACTGAATGGAAAAGCACTCTTGTTTTTATCCCACTCCTCATCCCATTTTGATTTGGGCTCAGGATCATATCTTTCACCTATATAAAACATTAAAAAGAGAAGCAATTCTAAAGACATTAACTTCAAGAGATGTCTATTGTCCTGATTTCTGAAGCTTTTCCTCATAATAAAATAGTTTTCAAAGAAAAACAGAAAGCTCCCACAGTGCTGAATCAACACAATTATAGCAAGGCACAGCATGTAATACCAGTCATTAAGTGGCAAGAATGCAGATTCAAAAGCTTTTGTGTATAAAAACTTATACAATCTTAATGCATAGCACACTGTATAAGGAAGTTCTTAAATGCTGCTGAAAAGTACTAGAAAATGCAAAAAACAATGCAAAGTATATAAGCAAAAGAGAAAATGGAAATCTTTTTGTTTTTACAAAAGTCACTTAATACATTATATTTCATTCTTGTCTCTTAATGGTTTTTCAATTACTAGAAAACTTTTGGGCAGCAATATTTTTAAAAAATACAAACTAAAGAAAACTCCATGAATATTTCATGTCCCAATATGCTTAAACAACTCAGTAACTGTCATTTCATGGTATGTATCAAAGCAGAAAAAAACAACTCAGTGGATTTGCAGACACGTGAAGGCATTTGTTCTGAACATGAAGATATTCTAATTAACAAAACTACACAAACTAGAAAGAACCAGGATGTACATATGTATAAGCAGTTTAGAACAGTGATGATTAGTCTCTGTTGTTGTTAGGTCCTGCTGAGTCAAATATGACTCACAGTGACCTTAAGAACAATGGATCTGAACCATGTCTTATCTTGTGCCACCTTCATCATCTTTGACATACTTGAACCTATTCCTATAGTTCCTATGTCAATCTATCTCACTGAAAGTCTTCATCTCTTTCACTGACCCTCTACCTTTATAAGCATGATACTCCCTTTTTAATAGCCACTCCTCAAGAGGCCCCACATATGTGACACAAAGCCTCACCATCTTTGCCTCTACAGAGAACTCTGTCGGTGGTACAAATGGTTAAATGTAATCAGTTGCTAAGTAATCAACTCTAATAGTTAAAAGTAATCAGCTGCTAACTGAAAGACAGAAATATTAAATCCACCTTGAGTTGTTTTGGAAGAAAAATGTGGTGATCCACTGAAAAGCCAGCCATAAAAAATTTTGGAGTAGTTTCTACTCTAACACACATGAGATGCTCATGACTTGGAGATAACTCAGTGGCAACTAACAACGAGGTACATAAACAACAAGTGTGAATGAATATGTGCTCAGCTAGAGAAACTGAAGGTGAATGCAGGAATGGAGGAAACAGAATATGGAAGTGAATACATCTACCACCAAATGACAAGATTAGTCTCAGGACCTCAAATATGTGCATTAAATAGGACATGTCTATTTCTTTGTACAAATCCAACTTAAAGAGGTGAGACAAAGGTAGAGAAATCACAGAAGGCACAAAGAAAAAAGTTAGGAAGGAAGAATGAAAATGAAGGCAGGTTGAGAAGAAAATTGATTAAGGAACAAAATAACAAAAAAATGAGTCACTAAGCTCTTATAAACAAATTGACAGATTTGCAGACTTTTTGCAGATTTATCACCACCATTTTGAATAACAAGGCTTCTTAATAAAACTTGAAGACTAAAACTTGTATGCAAGAACTTAAGGACTCTGAATTAGGTTTATTAAATCTGATCACCAAATTAGGGAAAAAACAAAGAAAATTTCAAAGCCAATCAAATTTTTTTAAAAAATGATGTTTTAAAAATGTATTTGTATGTCAACAACATGATAAATTAGCTTACAGTAAAAATGAAAGTGAATGAAAACAAAAGTGACTATCAAGTTTATTTAGTGCTAAGGCTATTACCTACTAGTAAGATGCTGTCTAATTTTGAAATAAACCAATAGACTATCTTAGATAAAACTGATTAGTTACGTCTAAATAAAATGAAATGTTAAAAATAATTTTGCTAACAATACAATGCAAAATACACAGGATGTTAAACAACAGCTCTGATGCTACCATCAGTTCACTGTGATAGTTTGAAAATGTGCTCAATTTTCCAATTTTATCTGATATAATTACCTATCATGCTGGTGAAAAGAAATAGAAGCACATGGAATGAGGAATAAAGTTAAAGTTGCAAACAGCAATTTCTACTAAAAATTATGAAATTGCTATAGTTGCTTTGAAAAAGAGAAAGACTCAAGTTATCACTCGCCAAACAAGCCAAAACTTTCTGATCCTCTGCACAAATAAAAGCCTCTAAGATACATCTACAGTTTTTCAAGAAAAAATTCTGGCCAATTCAAGAAATAATTTGTGTGTGTGTGTGTTTAATTTTTATTATTATTAATTTTAATAGACATTTACAGAGGTTTTGGATTTCCATTCATTCATTGCCGCACTTTTCTCCCTGCCCACCCCTCCCCACCAGCTCGCTTCCCTCTCCGAAGAGAAAAAAAAATTCCTTCATTAGTATACAATTCCCACGTCCCTTCCTCCCCACCCCCCACCAAGAAATAATTTTTATATGATGTTTAGACATTTAAAAAAGTCCAACAGCTTTCCTTTCAGGAAAGGACGGCAGAAGAACAAAGGGGAAAAGATTTTATAGATAGTCATGAAATAAGAAATCAGATGTTTTTACATTAATTCCAGTGAAGAAGTTAAGACACCTCAGTACATTTAATATATAAACAAAGTTACATATAAGTGGAAAGCTGGAGAATACCAACCCGCACCAGCTGAGATTACACATGCACTGTCTCATCTGTATAAACACAAAATGAATGACAGGACAGTAGAGTTCTCCTTGAGTTTTTTCTGTTTTCAAGAATACCAGGCACCTTATTTTAAGGGAAGTCTACTATTACATTAAGAATAAATATAAGAAATGAATTTTGAGCTGCTCTCAAATATGTTCAGAAAATTAAATAAGTGTTTAATTTTGTTTAGGATCTAGAAGAAAAACTGACAGCCTTATTAGTCACCCTTCATGTCAAATTAACGCTTTGATAATTAGTAAAGACTGAGGCTAGATTGACGAGTTTATCTATTTTTTTCTATTACAGAGCTAAAGTGGCTTTGAATTAGGAAATGAACGTGTAGATCAGACTTTACACATGTTTATATTCTAAATTATGAGTAGGGAAACATTTTTTTAAGGAACAGTTACCAAAAGAAAAGTTATATATTTGATTCACTCTGTCAACTCCAAGTTTGCAGTCATTTAATTACAGATTAATAGTTAAAAATCTACTTGTAAACCCACAAAACAGACAGATTCTCAAAATCCATTTGATTGACACCAAAATAAGTATTATGCATTTTCCAATATTCTATGAATTGCTGCATAAATGTTATCTTGGTCTTGAGTAATTTAATGACCCTTTATAATACACATCCTAACAACTAACTGGTGCGTAGATAGATGCCAGACTAGCTTTGATACTCACTGTATCTGAATCCTCCAACACTGTCTGAGGAAACCCCAACATATTTGTCTTTGTTTTTCTTTGCTTTCTTCCGCTCTTCACGAAGTCTATCATCATCCTGGGCAAATTCAACTAACTCTTTCACTTTCTGGCGAATATTTATACCCTGATCCTTGCCATGTTCATCTGTGAAGTTAAGAGAGAAAGAAAACTGAAGGAATGAATTTAACATGGATCAACCTTTTTTAAAAAGATGCTAATATTTTTGTATCATAAGAAATCGGTTATTTTTCAATAGTTTAAAAAATAATAATAAAAAAGACGTGAACTATGCTATCTTAACTTTGACATCTCCTCTTCAGAAAACTTTAAGTTTTCTAGTGCAAATTTGGTTTACAGAATGATTTCGAGATTAACTAAAAAAGGACTCTAGTTAAAGGTAGTATGTAAGGCCAGTTAAGATCCATTTAAAAAGATTACTGATGACGAGATTATGAAATGAATACAGGGTCGTTAAATGTCATCTTCTTTTCTTACTGCATTTTACCTTATAAAATAAAACTCAATTTAACATTTTAATAACGGAAAAGGACCCATATGCCTTGGTTTCATCAATACAAGTTTGGAAACACTAATTACTAGTATTAAGTGTTGCTGAAAAGCTGAATTTTTAAAGTGCTTTCAACTTGGGTATATTACAAAATGAACTGTGCTTCATTCTCTAGCCTCTTTCACATTCAAAACACACTCTGGCCTTGCTGCCTTTGCACAGTAAATATTATTTGGTGGGAAGAAAAAAAAAGCCCAGCTTCAAACAGATGTGTGTTTTGGAGCTCTAACCTTTTCTTCCCATATGATTAAAGCTATTCCTTTATGGACACCACAGGGGACCAGTCTCCAGTGCATATTTTAATATAAACCCGAACACTCATGTTGTGTTGGTTCTGTTGTTATTAGCCAGTCTTTTCTGCAAGTTCTTGTCTTCACTAATTAATACTCTAGGGCCCCACGTCTTGGATTCTGCACTCGTCACACAACCAGCAACAGTCACATTCTAATTAGAGCAGAGAAGCTTCTAAGCTGGTTCAGGTGACTGACAAGTCCAACTACTGTTTTAATTTGCTTATAAGGTTCTTCTATTGCTCACCTACAAAGTGGTAATTTTCCAGAGATCGCAAATCATAAATGTGTTCTCTGGCACTTGTAACAACACGCTCTGATCCATTCCTTATGAGGTAAGCTAGGAGCAGCAACGACTGTAAAAATACAAAGCACCAAATGATTTAATGAAAGAAATCCTCGTAGAACTTTGTTAAGTGGTTAAAAATAATTCCAACGTTAACAAATAATTTTCATGTTATGGTGGTGGTGGGTGGGTGGGTGGGGGACAGCAGATGGGAGTCTATTACATAATATCAAATTTTACATACAGCCTAGAATTTATGTTACTAATGTAAAGTTTTTATCCCAAACACAAAATATAATTATAAACTACTCATTGGTCACATTGAACTAAAAGAGATTTTTTAACCCAAATTAAAAAAAAAAATTTTAAAATTAAAAAAATTTCCCCCCCAACAAAAATCAATAATCCTAATGTTGACAAACATCTGAATGCAAAACATAAATGAACACAAAGTTGTAGAAAACTGGCTCAATTTTCACTATTCACCCGAGCACTGTAATACCATGGATTATTAGAAACAACAGCTTAAAAATAACAATTAGTAATCATGTGATTCCATAGTCTTTTCCCATGAAAATTTAACTTTTCTGGTAGATGATGTATGAGCCTTTGTTTTCAAAAGGTGTTAACAACAAATAAAAGACAAAAACTTAGCATTTTAAAATAACATTTTCTACACTTTTACTGCTGACTAAGGGCTTTCATTTTGGGATGATGGAAATATCCTGGAATTAGGCAGTGGTGACTGTTGCACAACTGCCGTATTAACAGTTACTAATTTA